TGTCTGTAGAAGATAAAAGTTTTCCATTTATTGTAAGGTTTCATATAGATTATATATCTGAAGGGAAACGAAAAATGTGGGAAGAAATTGAGCTAATACAAGTTGACCTTTCATCTTCTCTACAGACTGCGTTAAAAAAATATAGAAGATAAAATAAATTCATGTTATGCAAAATATGCTGATGAATATGCAAATACCGAGAGCACACTTTATGTGAGAATTGTATATGACAAACAAAATTCCAAAGGTGTCATTTCAAATCTACGAAGACAATCCAAAGAAAGACGAACAAATATATACAGAATTCACTGCAATGTCATGGTATTATTTGCAAAGAATGTTAAATCAGAAAGTCGAACTTCCTTTAGCAAATATTTACAGTCGATATGCAAGAGATGAACCATATTTATTTAAAGATGTTTTCGACCCGCTGCTATTATTGTTCATGCTTCATTTTCTGGCGCCCAAAACTCTTTCTTATGCTTGGCAAATGACTTTTACGAAAAACCTACAAAGTTATACGAACCACCAAGTGGAAGTATTTCAGACTTTCAAGTATGGTTTACTACAGATGGAAGAAAAAGAATAATTCCATTATACCATGCGTTTTACTTAGAACTTAGTTTCATATACAACTACTATCGAACGGTAAAAATATAATTTTTTAATACGGTTGAGGTGTTGGATTTGGTTGCCAACTAGACTGTGGTGCAGGTTCAGGCTGTTGTATAACAGGAGCTTGTTCTTCTGGTTCAGGGTCTTTAGGTATAATACCAACAAACTGACCTACTCTTTTACCAATATTTTTGACTCCGTTCCAAATTCCTCTTCTACGGTTTTTATTCCATTCCATATACCTCTTCCAACATTTCGAAAGAAGTTTCCTATCTTACTGAAGAAACCCATTTTACTATATGTAAAAATCTAATGTCCGCCTAGTCTCTTACGTTTCCTGTTGAGTTCCATAGCATTCTTTAACTGGAGCTCATACATTCTGTTTCTCTCCTGGTAGAAAACATATTCTGGGTCAACTCCTGTGTTCGCGTCATCTGCATAAAGTTGTTTATATCCCACTTCAGGGTTTGTATAAAACTCTTTCCATCTCATATTTGCATACCATGGTGCAAACCTAACGCAGCGTCATTTGACATGGCAGTTTGCATTTGTAACATCGGTTGGCACTTGACCATAGTTTGCCATTGCAGTTTGTATTCTAACTTCATTTGGAATATTCTCTGGGTTTGGTTGTCCAGGTTGCTGTGCATTCGCTAAGTTCTGTGCGTCCATTTAATATTAGATAAAAAATATCTCTTACGAGTACATATGCTGAACATTTGCAGGCATTGGTTCATCTTCATATTCTCTATATCTTTCTGCCACGTCAAATAAAATAAATGACACAATGGAAAAAACCTAAAACAAGTAGTCCTATTTCAAACCACATTTACTTACTAATAAAATTTCTTTGTTATGACACTTTCTCCAGTTTATAGGACCTCTCTCATATTCTATCTTGTCATATCTAAACTCATAGTCATGTATGTCCTCTAACCATCTCATAACGGTTTCCAAACCACTTTTATCGGATGTAAAGTAAAAGCATGGATGGTTATGTAAAACGTCTAAAGTTTCTAAAGAGTCTCTCAAAGTCCAGTCTACTTGGTATTGAAAATCCCATGTTTATAGAACGGCGGGTCCACTATAAGAAAACATTTTCCTTGTCTTTATATTTTTCATACAAATCTGTCCAATGACATCTCACAAACTCTATACCCTCAATATTTTTTCTATGTCCTCTTTGAAAACATTTGTATAGTTAAGAAAAATATAACTTTTGACATAAGTGTTTCAATGTCATGAACTCTTATAGCACCACTATATATAGTCTAGCAGATATACTATCCCAGTCTATATATTCTGCTTTTTTCAAAACCTCTCTCACAATATTTTTCTTATCTAATGGTATACGTTCCATCTTACCTATAGGTATCTTTTCTTTTAACTCTTTCAATATTTTGTTTGTGTCTGGAATATGTTTGAGACGGTCCATATAGTTGTCGAAGTCATTGCATATAATCTTTGAGTCTGGAAATATTATATGGCACAAATGGGATATATAGAAACTTCCACCGAACAAATCTACAAATGTTAGACCATTCGGTAGTTTCTTAAGTTCTCTCAATATAATATCTTTACATCTACTCTTATTTCCAAAGAACGGTAACGGTGGTTTTGTAAAATTCATTTATATATAATAATAAAAATGTTTTTACCTGAAAAGTGACAGAAAAGTGACAAAACATGAAAACATATATAATTTGTGAAAAGCGACACATTATATAATGTTTTCGACCCAGAAGAAGGCTTCTTCCCAGAAGCAATGGAGGAAGAAGAAGAGTCCTCCGAATAAAAACTTCATTTATACTAAACATCAACATCAGGGCTAGAAGGCACGAAGTGCCTGGAAGCCCCACTACCTTTTTTTTTTTTTTTTTTTTTTTTTTGGATTCACATTGTTATCAATCAAAAACAATGCAATGTCGGTTAAATTGTAAACTATTGAAAATGAAAGTAAAGAAAATCTTTGATTTCGGTAATTGAATGTCACGTTTTTTGTACTTCCCTTTTCTATCAAAAATTTTATGCTCTTAAAGTTTTCGTAGAGTAAGGCGTATACGATAGGATTGTACTCCATATGTCTGAGCGTAAATTCTTCTTCCTTGTAGATTCTTGTTGTGTCGAAATCAAAATCTCTTGGGCTCAAACGGTATCTGTCGTCTACTTTAATCGTATCTTCATGTTTAACATCGTATTCAAGCTTTTCCAGGTATTTTTCGAGGATAGAACATGATGTTGCCGCACAAAAATTGATTATTGGTGTTTTTGCCCTATCAACGTTAAAATTTTGGTATGAAGTCGTAGTCTGTGTTGCAAAGAAAACAGTTGCCGTCAAGTTGAAGCTGTTTACAATAGAAGAAATGTAAAATTGTTGAGGTGCTCCGAATTTTTGAATGAAATAGTCTAAAACTTCATTGCGATGGTAATCTATTGCCAAGTCATACAGATTTTTGTACTTAGGGAAATTACTTTCGAACATTTTTATGATTTCCAGATTTCCGCTGCAGACTTGTTATATACGAAAACGATAAAAACGGTTTGACAGAAAAGTGACAACTTTACGTGTCAAAAATATAAAAAGTGATATTTTATTCATCATTATCTTCTTCATAATTTATTTCATATTCTTCGTCTTACCAACAAAAGATGGGAATGTGAACAATTGCGGGCAATTTTTAGCCATTTTGGCTTGGAACTAGAGCCTGCGAGGTACATGGATAGTATCAGTACCTCACAGGCTCTAGTTCTCTATATGGCGCCGAGAAATTTTGGTGAAATGTGGTCGCATTTCACCAAAATTTTTTCGGCGCCATAGGATGAATTGGAGGGTGAGAGATATTATTTCATACAATACTACTCTCACCCTCCAATTCCCAGCCAAAATGGCTAAAAATTGCCCGCAATGTGAACAATTGCGGGCAATTTTTAGCCATTTTGGCTTGGAACTAGAGCCTGCGAGGTACATGGATAGTATCAGTACCTCACAGGCTCTAGTTCTCTATATGGCGCCGAGAAATTTTGGTGAAATGTGGTCGCATTTCACCAAAATTTTTTCGGCGCCATAGGATGAATTGGAGGGTGAGAGATATTATTTCATACAATACTACTCTCACCCTCCAATTCCCAGCCAAAATGGCTAAAAATTGCCCGCAATGTGAACAATTGCGGGCAATTTTTAGCCATTTTGGCTTGGAACTAGAGCAGCGAGGTACATGGATAGTATCAGTACCTCACAGGCTCTAGTTCTCTATATGGCGCCGAGAAATTTTGGTGAAATGTGGTCGCATTTCACCAAAATTTTTTCGGCGCCATAGGATGAATTGGAGGGTGAGAGATATTATTTCATACAATACTACTCTCACCCTCAATTTTAATTACTTAAACTCATTCTATTTTTTTGACATGTAAATGTCACTTTTACTGAGATCTGACACAATGTCAGATCTCTTTTTTTCGTATATAAGAGACTGAATATGTTAATAGGTCGTATCCCGGATTATAATAGTTTTCCATGAAATATTTCAAGCAGTTGATCGATCCAAAGTAAGCAGCGAGTGAGATTAAAGAAATTCCTGAAAATTGAGGTAAAGAATAGGTTGAAATTACTAATGGGTGAATACTTTCTGTGATTTTGTTTCGTAATTCTGCTACGTTGTCGTTCATAATTACGTATTCGATGGAATCTGAATCAAAAAAATTCAAAAATTTAAAATTATTGAGATTTGGATTTGATTTTGTCATTTCCGTTGGATTTATTAGAAAATTTACTGCGTTTGCGATGCATTCATGCGCAAACATTTTTGTATCACTCAATTCTGGACAAACGTTAATAATAAGTCTTGCGTATAGAACAAGATTGTTAATTCTTCGTGCGGCTACTTCATCTATCATATGTAAAATATATTTTACGTTAATATCTGAATTCTGAAGGATTTCTTGAATTGACGCGATTGAATTATCGAAATTCTCGCGTGATAGGTCCCAGATTAATCTATCCAACTTACATAATGAAGTAAATTCCTCTGGGATACTGAAATTAAGTATATTGCTCATCAGAATTGTCACTTTTTATTAATTATTTTCCCGCCATTCTAAAGAAAAATTTGATTAATTTCTGGCAAGGATCATTTTCCAAGATATTTCAAAAGATTTAAATTGTCAACCTGCTAGGCAAGTTGTGTACATTGCATATACACATGTAAAATTTAGTATTCAAGTAAATCTACCGCTAATCTTCTTAATGAATAAACCAAATTTCATAAAACTCTCCCAAAATTACAATTTTTTACAGTGAAGTTCTCTCTATTTTCTTCTCATGTGTAAATTCATAATTTATAATAAAATAACACAATTTTTATTAATAAATAAAACAAACATTATTTTTAGACAATTGCAGCTTGAGGAGAGTTGTCAAGTTGAGGTTGCTGAGCTTTTACTTGTTTCTCCTGTTCGAAGAATCTCTTGAACAGTGTGTACGAGAACTGCAAGAAGATAGAACAAATAGGGAAAATGAAAGTAGACAAAGACGAAATCCAGTTTCCAGACATTGTCGAAGAAACTCCTGATGTCTGTGAGTTTCCTTGGTTATCAGTCACCAAACTATACCCAACAAAGAAACAGATCAAGCTTCCAAACAATGAAATATTATGATACAGAGTCCAAGTATCAGTCTGCGTTGCTGTCCACGCGACACAAGACAAAATAAATGTTGCAGACATCGAATACCTGAACTGCTGCAGAGAAATGGTGTCGTTGTACGGCTTCCTCACATCTCTGTCGACCAAAGCCTTGAACCAGACAGAGAAAATTGCTCCCAAAATGCAGAGAACAGAAGAAATCATGAATCTGATGAATGACAACCTCGGCTGCTTCCTTCTTCTCAAGTAGTACTTCTGCGGAGTGTTTTTGAGGATGTACTCGCCAACTCTTTTGTTCAGAACAGATCTAGAGACAGCAGGACATCCAGTAAACACCAAAACACTCAGAATATGAGCGGCAGTGAAGAGAGGAGTTCCAGAAAAAGCAACTTGGAACTGATAAGCCATTTGAACTAATCCAAGAAATGTATCGCGAGGAATAGTGAAATTAATCATCGTTGTGATTCTGTCGTACAACCACTGGCACGTGACAAAGATTATGTCTGAGAGCTGGTCGAATCTGTCGACAGTCAGATCAGAAATTATTCCCATCGGAGTCGGAGAATCGTCTGAGACAGTGATTGACATGGAAGAAGCGTTCATGAACCCGCTGTCTGTGATTGACTGGCCGATTCCGATGATTGTCATCTCTCCCTGCTTCCGGATGTACTCCACCAACAGCTGGACATCGTTTGGCTGGCATTTGTCAATCAGAATGACAGTGAACGCTTTCAGAATTTGAGGAACATTTTTAACTTTTGACTGAATTATGTTTTGTATCTGGTTTCCACTCATCAAAAGAGCATCATCGAATCCTCCCAAATTAGACAGCATCCTCTCCAACTCTCCATCAATCTCAAGTTGTGTATTTCCTCGTAAAGGTGAAGTTCCCTGATTTTTCTTCAAAATTCCCAAAGAAAGAGCGTGAGTCGTGAGAGTTCTGATTGGTCCGTGGCTCGCAAGAATCATCTGTATTCCGCTGCCTCTCACTTTGTTAACAAAAGACAAAACGCCGTCGCGTGGAGGATCTTCAAAGCCAACTAATGCCAAAAAAGTGCCAGTTCTTTCAATTTCAGAAAATTTCTGAATTATGTCAGAACCAGAGATACTCAGCGACTCAGGCGAGATCTGCTTGTATGAGAGCACGGTGACCTGCAACCCTTGCGACTGCATCTCCTTCAGCTCGTGCAGGGGGAGTCCCTCTAAATCAGGGTCTTCTTCGACACTCCAGCGAGTGAAAATGAATCCGGTGCCTTTTCCGCGGATTATCACTGAAATTCGCGGGTGTTGCTTGGACTGCGGAATGTAGGTGACTTGTCCAACATATGTGTCCTCGAAATTTGGCACTTGGATGAATCCTGTCGCGAGAAGAGTGTTTCTGATCAGATTTCCCTTCAAATATATCAACTGATTGGGTCCTCTGTGGGCAAATGTTACTCCACTCTTTGAGGCAAGTCTGAGAAGTGGTTCCTCAGCTGGAACTGATGAAATAAAAGATATAAAATCTTTTTCTATTTGAACTGTGGCTTGATGGCATAATGAAATGTGTTCGAGGAAGAGGCTGACCTCAGGAGTGTTGGCATTTTCGAAAAATGATGGGTCATCAAATTCATCATTCGAAGAACCTTGAATTCCTGTCTCAGAAAGCTCTTGCGAGGTCATTGATCGGCCATACATCCTTCCTGCCACGTAAATTCTCTTGATTGTCGGCGGAAGAGTGCCAATTAAAAGAGATTTTGATGCAACAACAGAATCTATATGAGTTAGCTCATCCAATCTGTTGACTGATGACAATATAGCTGTTTTCAGGAAGAAAGAGTGAATAAATAATGAGATATCAATCATTAGATACAATTCAAACGGAGAAAGTGGAGTTAGAAGGACAAGGAAGTTGGTAAAGCTATATGTATAGTATTGCCAGTTAGGTGTATCATCTAAAACTGGCCAACTGCTTGAAATATCCCTATAAAAAATCGAAACTGTCGCTAAAACCATGGAAAGAATGAAAATGAAGGCAATTTGTATCATGTTCTGTCTGTTGAGTTGTTTCTCGAGTAGTGTAGACCTGAAATACCCTGTTTTGCTGTGTAATGAACACCTGCAATCAGATCCAGTGTAAACAGCAGCGACAATGATCTCGTCTGTATGGTAAACAATAGAGAACTTCTCAATAAACTGCTCATTTGAGATGTTTAGCTGTTCCTGACCGACAATAACTGTTCCGTCAAATTGAACTCTTTCTGTAAGGGGAGGAAGATTACCTTCTGACGTTCTGGCGTAATTTATTTGGAAGTCTGTGTTCAAAATGTTCTCTGGTTGGAAATGATCGCATTTTTGAATCGGTTTTTTGGCTCTTAATTGATTTTTACCATCAATGATACGAGTATTGACAGCTATCTGGAATTTTTTACCTGTGGCTAGTAAAACAACATCACATGGTGCTGTGTCGCCGTTTTTCAAAAGAATTACGTCGCCAGGCTTGATATTTCCTTGTAATATCTCAACCCATTGATGGTTTCTACGCACACGTACTTTTTTCTTGTCTGTTATGTAATTTAATTTACGTTTTCGATAAGATTGTAAAATATAAATTCCAATTGATGAAGAAAATGTGAAAATGAGTGGAATAATAGTTGTTGTTGGATATAAAGGTGTTTGAATGCATGTCTGAACTATGAATATACCGAAGTAAAACCAAAATGCGATTCTAGAAAAGAAAAAAGTAATGAAAGAAATCGCTAATTCGGTAATATTGAGATTGTTTGAATCTGTTATGTTCGTTTGAAGCACTTGATCCTTCGGTTCTTCTTTAACTTCAGGATCAAAGTGAACAAGAACCATAAAAATCTAGATTTTCGCCAATTTGATCGGGATTTGGAAAAGGTTACATGCTGATTATGTGATTATTAGCTTTATTAGAATGCATATAACTTATGACATTGCATATTTTGATCAATTATCTTTCTTTATGTGAAAATCGCGCATTGTTTTTATTATAATCTAAATATTACAGAATGCTCCTAAAAATAATAATGAAATATATATTTTATATTGATGCATGCTACATGTGCATGAAAAATTAAATTTGCAATTCAATATCAATTTTTCAGAACTTGACTATAATACCAATGGAATATATAGAAGTAGGGTAACCATTTATTTTTGTTTAATTTAGATAAGACATAAAATTAAACAAAAGATCAAATTTTTCTAAGAGAAAACGAAAAAATTAAAAATTATGACATGTATAACAAATAAAACACATAAATTTAGTTTTACAAGTGAGAAGCGAGTTCTAAATTTCTATATTTCTCCGTTAATTCGTTAAGTTTCAATTCCTCACACATAATCCTTGCTTCAGTCCACATCTTCAGTTTATCGCACATTGCGAGTTTCTGTTGGGATGTTGGGGCCATTCTGACAAAGTTTTTCGCTTTTTCAAAGTTTCCTGCAGCGAAAACAATGTCGCAAACAGTCATCCAGCCACATGGAGGCTCAGAACGAGTCGCATTATCAAACTGCGACCACATTTCGTTGGAAGCCAGTGCCTGGAGTCTGATTACTGATGACATCTGGTCTGAGAAGTGGTATTTGTCTTTGATCTTCTTAAACATCTCTTCATCGTTGTTTATAACAGCTTCTTTCATGTACTGCCTTGGAGATTTAGTGAAAGAAAGCGAAGATTTGTCAGATTTCTTTTTATCAAGCATTATATTAAGAGCAATCTGGCTATGGCATGCTTGCTTGTAGTATACATCATTCTCTGGAATAGCAGCAAGTCCAGCTTCTAGAACTTTTGTGTCATTTCCGTATGATTTAGTTCTTTTCATGTTTTGTTCAAAGAAAACATATATGTAAGTTGCAAATTCATTAAATTCAAGTGGTAATTTAGTGTTCATCCACTTGCAATACAATATTGTATCTCTCATTTGTGATAATTCTTGTCCTGTCTTCTTCCAAACCGAAACTATTGAAGAACCATCGAGATTATTAATTGAGGAGTCTATACTCTCCTTCAAACTCAGCGGCAAAAGAAATTGGACGCGGTCTTTTACACAGGTAAGTTGATTCGCAAAAGTGACAGCTGAAGAGGGGAAGTTCCTCTTTAGACAATTATCGGCGATTTCTCGGTAGTTGACATTCGGGATACTTTTGAGTCTGTTGATGACAAAATTGATAGAATCTTGGCCTTTTAGTGATAAATAGTCAACAGCCCATTTTTCGGAAACAATTGCCTCGCTCATGCCGTAAAAGTCACTTAAACGAGCAGCCTCGTTATATAAGAGCAAGTTGCAGAGTCGTTCGACTGAAAAAGTGTAAAAATCTGTAAATAAATTATTTTCCAAAAAAGAAACCATGTAAGGGGTTGTAGTAAACGAAATCTTTCTCTCTAGGAACATGGTGTTAATAAATTTAATATTTTTGATAATTTCAGCAAAATTTGAAAAATTCAAACTAAATGAGTTCGTAGAAGATCTTACAAACGAAGAAGTATTCATTATCGTACGTTGTATATCGAAATCGAGTATGTAAGGTGCAATTCTGACCATTTTTTCAACGACATCCGAATAATCGAGATTTTCTGTATTAAATAAGCATTCTATTGATTTATTTTCGTATAATTTGTATGAATTTATGAGCAAGTTTATAGTATCACGCTCTGGACTCGATTTGAAATCTGTAATTTCTTTTATTTCTGGAACAATTACGTATAAACCTTGCGAAGTTAAAACTCTTATTGTTTTATAGTCTGAAAAAGCATATCTCAGATCGTCAAAGCGAACTGTCTGTATGTAATTAAAATTCGAAAAAATTGAAATTTCTGAATTTGAAAAAGAAACGAAAATATCATCACACCAGCCAGCAATTTCGCATTCTTCCAATGATACGAATGGGATGTGGTCTTGTATTGAGGAATCAATGGGAAAAACGACTCCAACAGTTGAAATAACTGCAATTCCGATTTTTCCATCAATAGGGACATATAATTTTTGCGGTAGACTATCTAATCCGGCTAGGTATTGAAGGTTTGTTCTTGATTTCAAGTAAATATTATGGTCATCGCTGACAATTATAAATGTTTCGTTTGTTAAGGAGTGTAATGCAACATTAACGGGAGTAATTGTCGGATCTACGGAGATTGTAATATCTACTGACTTTTTGAAGGCATTTACGAATATAATTAAGCCATTTTTCGTCAAAAAAGTTAATCCTAAATAAGAAGACTGAGAAGAAACCACATCAGCAATGGGAGAAAATACAGTTTCAATCATACCTGATGCTTTTACTATAACGAGTGTTGAATCTTTATGTAGAAAGCCAACAGTGCAATCTGGAAAAATATAAATGGTGTGGATATCAAATGCATTTCGATATGTGAAGGGTGATCCAATCTGTAAACCTGCATTTGAATAGAATTGAAATACTTTACTGGCATCATTTAATCTTTTTAAAATCGGTCCTCCGAAATAGCAAGGAGTCAGCAACGATTTATCATTCGATATAAAACCAGTATCGCATTCGGATATATAATGTTGGCAATTCAGATCATTTTGAATTTTCGAGATGAAATCATCTGAATTTTTCATTCTGAAAAGTGACAGACAGAAAGTGTCATTTAAATGATAAAGAAAAAAACAATCAAAACAATATCACACATACAGTTTGAGTGGCCATTCGATACAAATCTGTAAGTTATTACGTATGTACCGGTGATTTATCATCTTAAGTATTCTTTTTTCTCAAAATACTTATAAAATTACCAAATTAACTAAATGATTAAATAAATCATCATCGGAACTAATTTTATTGACGAGAAAGTTAGAATTACTGGAAATGCATTTCATTATTCGATCATATTTATGAATTTTAAAATTTTCATTCAAGAATGGTTTTCAGAAACAGAAAGTCCGTGAATTTGATTTGACATCATATGAAAATTAAGGATTATGCAAATAACTATTAAATTATTAAACTAAATTATCCGAATATATTTTTCGGAAGTAAAACTTCATAGAAATCAAAATCGGCTGCGCAATTCTATAATATCATGCCAAGCCAGCAAATATCAACTAAGTATTTCAGACGATCATTGTCATTTCTCTTTCAGAAAATACTCTTACACTCCCAGAAATGACCGCTCTTGCGTGCAATCTAATTAATGCACCAATATCTATATTAATCTCTGTAACTTGTTGTAATGTTCGAAAAAAACTATGATTTCAAAAGATCAAGTCGTTGTACGATAAAAATGTTATGTTTTACCTATTACTAAGAATTTCTATATTTAAAACAGACATACTTTGAATATGGGTTAAATCCTGATTGCTGAAATTTAAGTTTAAAATTAATTTGCATCCAACGAATGAAGTAAATATTCGTTCATTAAAAACATAGATAGACCATATAGTTTCGCCACGCATCATCGAAATTAGTTACATAATTGTTTCAAAAATTTAATCTCCGGTGGAAACAATTAATTGTTTTATGATCAAAAATCGTTTTAAATTACTTCTTCATTTAAATTATAACAATTATTTTTGGTTTTATATTTTTTTGGATCAAATCCATTTTAATAGAATTTATATACTATTCATCTATTAGTAAACACTACCGTATATTATTTTTTAAGCTATCTTATTTTTTGAACTTTTATTCAAATCTTTGGTCGCAAGAAGAATTGCATGATAAATAAAAACATTTAATCAAAGTCAATTTTATTTTTCATATTCAAATGGACTGAGTGTTAACATTTAACATTTTTTGCTAATTGTCGTCAAAAATTAGGCGTAAAGCAAAAATTGATATTTCATATGGTTTTATGATAGATAAGCATTATATTCCCACTCATTATATTCGTAAATTTTGAGGTTTATCCTTCGCTTTTAAGATCATTGAATTTGATTTTTATATAAAATAGTTATATATTAGAAAATAATATGAGTTTATGTGATATTATTTTTCAGAAGATTTTGTGTTCTTCTTCAAAATTTTATTTTTTTATTAAAAAGAATCTTTACAAAATATACATTTACTTTAATTAATATTTAAAAACGTGCTCTATCAAAAGTTCCAAAAATTCAATATTTTAGCTTTTCTGAGGTGTCACTTTTGATGAATTTCTGTTTACAACAAAACACCGTATTCCATTGCTCATTAACCTTTCACGATTACAAAAATATTGCCTCTGAAATTACAAAACTGATTCCAATTAGGAATTTATCATTTCAATTTAATTGAAAAAAATCAATATGTTATTTCAATTTTTAAATGCTGTGCATTCAATTTCATCATATCTCAGGATGGAATATCCACTCGGGTATAATATCCTCAGCAATGGAAATAAAATCCCCAAGATTGGCCTTGGGTGCTGGAATTTCGGTAATCCTGGCTGTCCGTTAGAGACCGAGCAATCTGCTGTTAAAACAGCCGTAAATGGCGGAATGGTATTACTTGATACTGCCGAACTTTATGGTGACGGTCTTTCTGAAGAGTTTTTGAAGGATCTTATTAAGCCAATTCGCGAAAAATTATTTATTGTTTCAAAAGTTCTTCCATCAAATGCAGGACGAAAAAATATTTTCAATAGTTGCGAGAAATCACTTCAACATCTCGGTATCGAATACCTTGATTTGTACTTATTACATTGGCGCGGTCGGGTTCCATTAAAAGAAACTGTTGAATGCATGGAGGAACTCGTCAAGCAGGGAAAAATCAAACAATGGGGCGTATCCAATTTCGACGTCGACGACATGAAAGAACTTTGGTCGATTCCAAATGGAGATCATTGCGTTGTAAATCAAGTCCTTTACCACTTAGGATCACGCGGTATAGAGTACGAACTAATCCCTTGGATGAGATCTCATAATGTTAAACTTATGGCATATTGTCCAATTGCCCAAGCCGGAGATCTCAAAAGGCAACTTTTTACCAACAAGGTTCTGAAGAGAATTGCTGCAAAGCATAACTGCTCAATTGTTCAGATACTTCTTCGCTTTGTTTTGAACTGTGATATTTGCACTCCAATTCCAAAGTCTGCCAAACCAGAACACGCTGCAGATAACCTCAAAGCAATTAATTTACAACTTACAGATGAAGAGTGGGCTGAAATTGACAAAGAATTTCCGGCTCCAAATCATAAGGTTTATTTAGATATTGTTTAATTTTATTTTATAGATATATCTAGGGTTGTTAGATTCCCGACGATAGGTGTCTTGGAAGATTTGCCTGGTGTCATCATAGTGTCTTTAAATCAAAAATTTTATTTTGGAGTTAGTTTTATTGATTGTTCAATAAAAAATATAGATCCGTATTTTTCCCAAGTGAGCGGGGTATCTTTAATCCCAGCCCTATCGTCCTCCTAGTGTCAGTTTTTAATATAAAATCCAAAATTTTTTTAAAAATAAAAATTTCGAGAAATTTTTCTAGTTTTTTTTCTTTGATTTCAATAATTCAAAATAAATTTTGGAGTAAAAAGACACTATTTAATGAAATTCATATGAGTGAATGTGGATAAATACTCTCAAAACATACAATTTATATATTTTTTCTTTATATTATCAACTAATTAGTGATAATTTTTTTTGAATCAGATTTTTTTTTCATTAAAAATATAATATATAACGCAATAATGATGTACACATCAAAATATAAAGTTTGTTTTGGTCTGGGCCCCCCAACCCAAAATTCTAAAAAAATTGAATAAAATTGAATACTTGGGGTTGGGATACCCAGCCCGAAACCGAATTGAATTTTTTGAATTAAAGAATATATTTACAAAAAAAAAAAAAAAAAAAAAAAAAAGGGAGTGGGGCTTCCAGGCACTTCGTGCCTTCTAGCCCTGAGGATGAATGAGTATAATGAAGTTTTTTTTTTCTTGGGGTGACCTTCCAGGCACTTCGTGCCTTCTAGCCCACATAAATGAAGTTTTTATTCGGAGGTCTTCCAGGAGCTTTTCACAAATTATATATGTTTTCATGTTTTGTCAAGACTTCTTCGTAAATGTTTTGTCAAGACTTCTTCGTAAATGTTTTGTCAAGACTTCTTCGTAAATGTTTTGTCAAGACTTCTTCGTAAATGTTTTGTCAAGACTTCTTCGTAAATGTTTTGTCAAGACTTCTTCGTAAAATCAGACAAAAATAATGTTTAGGGTAGAAGGTTAGATATAACCTCTTTTCTAACCTCTTTTCTACCCTCTTGAATTTGTCAAGATTTCTTCGTAAATGTTTTGTCAAGACTTCTTCGTAAATGTTTTGTCAAGACTTCTTCATCGTAAATGTTTTGTCAAGACTTCTTCGTAAAATCAGACAAAAATAATGTTTAGGGTAGAAGGTTAGATATAACCTCTTTTCTAACCTCTTTTCTACCCTCTTGAATTTGTCAAGATTTCTTCGTAAATGTTTTGTCAAGACTTCTTCGTAAATGTTTTGTCAAGACTTCTTCATCGTAATGAGCGTAAATGACCAAAAAATAATGTTTATGTTAGAATGTTAGATCTAACATGTTTTCTAACATGTTTTCTAACATGGTCTAAAACATACAAAACTCTTGAATTTTCATGATTTCTTCGTAAATGCTTTGTCGAAACTTCTTCATCGTAAATGTTTTGTCAAGACTTCTTCGTAAATGTTTTGTCACTTTTCTGTCACTTTTCAGGAAAAAACATTTTTATTATTATATATAAATGAATTTTACAAAACCACCGTTACCGTTCTTTGGAAATAAGAGTAGATGTAAAGATATTATATTGAGAGAACTTAAGAAACTACCGAATGGTCTAACATTTGTAGATTTGTTCGGTGGAAGTTTCTATATATCCCATTTGTGCCATACAATATTCCCAGACTCAAAGATTATATGCAATGACTTCGACAACTATATGGACCGTCTCAAACATATTCCAGACACAAACAATATATTGAAAGAGTTAAAAGAAAAGATACCTATAGGTAAGATGGAACGTATACCATTAGATAAGAAAAATATTGTGAGAGAGGTTTTGAAAAAAGCAGAATATATAGACTGGGATAGTATATCTGCTAGACTATTATATAGTGGTTCTATAAGAGTTCATGACATTGAAACACTTATGTCAAAAGTTTTATATCTTAACTATACAAATGTTTTCAAAGAGGACATAGAAAAATATATTGAGGGTATAGAGTTTGTGAGATGTCATTGGACAGAGTTGTATGAAAAATATAAAGACAAGGAAAATATTTTCTTTATAGTGGACCCGCCGTTCTATAACACATGGGATTTTCAATACCAAGTAGACTGGACTTTGAGAGACTCTTTAGAAACTTTAGACGTTTTACATAACCATCCATGCTTTTACTTTACATCCGATAAAAGTGGTTTGGAAACCGTTATGAGATGGTTAGAGGACATACATGACTATGAGTTTATATATGACAAGATAGAATATGAGAGAGTCCTATAAACCGGAAAAAGTGTCACAACAAAGAAATTTTATTGGTAAGTAAATGTGGTTTGAAATAGGACTACTTGTTTTAGGTTTTTTCCATTGTGTCATTTACTTATTTGACGTGGCAGAAAGATATAGAGAATATGAAGATGAACCAATGCCTGCAAATGTCCAGTATATGTACTCGTAAGAGATATTTTTATCTAATATTAAATGGACGCACAGAACTTAGCGAATGCACAGCAACCTGGACAACCAAACCCAGAGAATATTCCAAATGAAGTTAGAATACAAACTGCAATGGCAAACTATGGTCAAGTGCCAACAGATGTACAAATGCAAACTGCCATGTCAAATGACGCTGCGTTAGGCTTACCACCATGGTATGCAAATATGAGATGGAAAGAGTTTTATACAAACCCTGAAGTGGGATATAAACAACTTTATGCAGATGACGCGAACACAGGAGTTGACCCAGAGTATGTTTTCTACCAGAGGAGAAATAGAATGTATGAGCTCCAGTTAAAGAATGCTATGGAACTCAACAGGAAACGTAAGAGACTAGGCGGACATTAGATTTTTACATATAGTAAAATGGGTTTCTTCAGTAAGATAGGAAACTTCTTTCGAAATGTTGGAAGAGGTATATGGAATGGAATAAAATCTGTCGGAAGAGGAATTTGGAACGGAGTCAAAAATATTGGTAAAAGGGTAGGTCAGTTTGTTGGTATTATACCTAAAGACCCTGAACCAGAAGAACAAGCTCCTGTTATACAACAGCCTGAACCTGCACCACAGTCAAGTTGGCAACCAAATCCAACACCTCAACCGTATTAAAAAATTATATTTTTACCGTTCGATAGTAGTTGTATATGAAACTAAGTTCTAAGTAAAACGCATGGTATAATGGAACTATTCTCTTTCTTCCATCTGTTGTAAACCATACTTGAAAGTCTGAAATACTTCCACTCGGCGGTTCATATAGCTTTGTAGGTTTTTCGTAAAAGTCATTTGCCAAGCATAAAAAAGAGTTTTGTGCACCAGAAAATGAAGCATGAACAATAATAGCATCTGAGTCGAAAACATTTTCATATGTTCCATTAGGGTTTGAGACTTCATAATAGTCCGGGTGTACTGGATACCATGCAGGCTGATTTAACATCCTCAAAAATCTATGCCATGCCAAGTTGTTATATTTTGTAGAAATATAACGTTTTCTCCAAGGTCTTCTATTTTATTGATTTTAACAGTTGCATTTTTCCTGTCATATATAATATCGAGATGGTACTCTCCTTCGTCAATGTTATACTGGTTTGCATATTCGAGATAGATATCGTTTATTTTTTCTTGAAAAGCTTGAAGAGTTGTTTCTAAGTTTACAAGCAAATTCACTTGTAAAAGTTTTCCCTGTTCAAATTTCTCATACGTACGTTTTTCTTTGTTATAGTATCGAACTTCAAAAGCGACCGTAAATGGGAAACCATGTATGGCTTCTGAAATGAACTTCATTCTACGAAAGCCAATAGCTTTTGTGACGGATGGGTCTCTTAACCATCTTAGTGGGTAGTCAAAACGATAGCCTTCATGCTTTACGGTATCTGTCTCAAACTTTTGACCGACATTCGTAAAAAGTTCATCTAATGGTTTAGTTGTAGCAACTCTTGAATTTTCTTTTTCTATTGAAAGCATATTTTATCTAGAATAAAAATGTCGAAAGAAACAGCGTCTATGAGAGAAATACAACACAACCGACAACTCATTATGCAAGCTCTAAATAAGAACACAACAAACTTTTCAAACTATTCTAAGATATCTGAGTCATTGAAAGAAGGAAACTTAAAACTGACATTAAACCCAATGACAGATGAGTTTCTATTTCAAGACAATAAGAACCATACTGTTTGTATAAATCCAACAAAAGGAACTTTAAACGAGAAACCTATAAAAGAACTTCTTTTGAAAGCAGATGTTGACAACAAAGCTGACAAAGAATATGTCATTGAAAAAGTTCAAGAAGAACATGACAGAGCAGATGCAACATATGCAACGAAAGAACATACTCATCCTGAACTAGCGGACAAAACATATGTTGACAATAAAATGTCAAGTGAAGTGACAAGAGCTGAAAACGAATATTCTAAAAAGACTCATACACATTCTATATCTGATATTACAAACTTACAAGAAACCTTAAACAGTAAAAGTGCCGTTGGACATACACATACCATTGCAAATATTACAAACTTACAAGAAACCTTAAACAGTAAAAGTGACGTTGGACATACACATACCATTGCAAATATTACAAACTTACAAGAAACCTTAAACAGTAAAAGTGACGTTGGACATACACATACCATTGCAAATATTACAAACTTACAAGAAACCTTAAACAGGAAAAGTGACGTTGGACATACACATACATCTTCTGAAATAACAGACTTAAACGTTAGCCTTGAAAAGAAAGCAGATAAAACATATGTCAATGAAATATACCAAAGTTTGATAGGAACAACGAAAAATATTGAAACTATTGTTGGTGACTTTTCTGTCAATGAAGAAAACAAATATTTTAGATGGCAGTTGGTACAGTCCTTAGAAAATGGTACACGGTATAAACTCATTCCGAAAAATAACAATGAAATGTATGTAAGCTATATAAAGAACGATGGTACACAAGTTAAAGTTCCATTAGACAACAACTGCTACTTAAACTTATATGGAGACGAACAAAAGAAATATTTAAGAGTTTATGAAATGACAGATATGACATTGCCTGACCCAGCTCCAGTACCATATTATTATGACTATGGTGTTGACGCACGTGTAGACCCAAAAAAGCAAACATTATATTTAGATTTTTATAGATATAAAAGATATAATGCAATAGAAAAAACGAGAATAGTATACTATTATGAAGATGACAGAAATAAATATTATAGTCAAGACTTTACCTACCCTGAAAACATAAGATTATATTATAAAAAATATTCTGACACAAACCAGAAGAAACCTGAAATGGTTGCACTATATTTTAAGTTCAAAAGAGACAATCCTATAATATCTCATATGTTTGATTTAATGAACCCAGTAGGTTCTATTTATACATCTATGGAAGCAGGAGGTCCTCAAGTAATGTTTGGTGTTGGTGCATGGGAACAAATAGTCGACAGGTTTTTGTATTGTGCAAACTCTTCAAAGGAAACAGGTGGAAGTAAAAAGATATCTGTCGACAACTTGCCACCACATAGTCATTCTGGTACAACAAGTTCTAATGGAAACCATAGTCATAGGGTTTGCAAACAAGGATATAACACTGTTTCTCAGATTTCAATGCAAATTCAAGTTATGTCAAGAACTCATTTTCCAAACGACCCAGTAGACTGGAATGGAATGTGGACAGATACAACTGGAAACCACCAACATACTTTTACAACAACATCTACAGGAAATGGAACAGACTACATGCCACCTTACATGACAGTTTACGCATGGTATAGAATTGCTTAGTCGTCATGTTCCACTTCTTTAGCATATTCGTCAGGAGTTGTCTTATATTTGTTAGGAACTGTCTTTGAAAGTATACCACCTTGAACTTTGACAAGTTTGAAACGAGGTCTGACAATAGTAGTTTTATCTTCTGCTTGCAGTGTGTACATTTTGCCATGTTTGCCTAAAACTTCATAATATTCTCTTGTATACTTTCTTCTATTTTTACGAACACGAATGTGAGTACCTGTCGAGTTCCCATTGTTGTCATAGTCAATAGTATTTTCATATGGGTCGCGTTTAGGTATTTCTATTTTTACTTTGTCACCTTTCTTAAGTTTGAAGCCTGGCATTCTTTCTTGTTTGTCTCTTTTGACTAAACTATTAAATATATAGTCTTTCTCTAAGTCGGGGTTGTTTTTCATTTCTTCGGGGAGTGGTTTCCCAAACCTTTTTGTTTACGGCTATTGTAAATATTTAAAACTTGTCTCATCTTTGCCATGGAGAAGTGTCTATATTTGTCGTCATATGACATTTCATCTACCTCACCACCTTGTGGTTGGTTTAAGTCTCTTAAGATTTTTATACAACTGTCAATGACACCAAGAGCAGAATGGTTTTGGTCGACAATGAAATATTGGTTTACATTTTTTGAACGCAGATAGTTTTTTACATCATCTGATTTGAAAGAACGTTCACAGTCAGATGTCAGTTTTGTTGGATGGTATTTGTCAACGAATATTGTCAAAGCAGTTTTCACATCTAAAATATTTTTGGACTGTAATGGTATAGCTTCACAGTATCTTGTGTTTTGACCGACAAATATTAGCCAGTATGGAGGTCCATCTTCTCTATACCTCGGAATATTTTCCAAGATATCCATAAACCAAGCATTTGGTGTTGAACTAAAGATTTTTATCATGAGTGCTTTTTTTGTTGCCTTAGAAACATAGGGGTCCTTGTTTGGATTCGTCATTTTTTAACCCATAAGAAATGGGTTTATTTGGCGCATTAGCAGGAGTTGCATCCAGATTTTTGCCCGCAGTGGGAACAATAGCCAGAGTGTATTTGGAGTTGGAAGGAAGATTTTGAGTACATTAGGTATACTTAAAGAGAAAGCACAACCTATTATACAAACTGTACAGAAAGGTTGGGATGTAGCACGAGATGCAACAAATCTTATTCCAAATCCTGAAACAAGAGGAAAAGTTCAAGGATGGATGGACAATGTAGGAAGACAAGCAGGAAACTATTATAACAAAGCAAATGACTACTATAACCAAGCAGGACACTATATGGACCAAGGTGAAAGATTCTTTAACAGAGGATATAACCATGCACAACAGTGGGTAAACAATAACCAACCGCAACCACCTCAAACTTGGGGAATGTAAAATTTTTTACTGAGATGAAATGAACAATACAGCATTGAGACAAATGGGTTCAAGATGGATTTGTCGACTTCCAGCAGTTACACCACGTGTTTGTCAAGTCCTCCCTATACCTCAGGAAGTTTTAGACCGACTTAAAAAACCTAAACAACCAGTTGAAAACAAACCAAACTAAAATTTTTTACTGAGATGAAATGACCGAAGAAGTTGAAACGGTAGATTTGACACCACAAACAAAAAGTTCAGAACCATTGTCAAAACCTGTCAAAGAACTTACAGATGAAGAGAAAAATTCAATAATAGAAAGTGCCAGGTCTGGAAATACAAACCCTAACTACAAAGTCACTTTTCATAGAAATGGAACGGCAAGTATCTCAAAAAAGAAACAGACTCTCACAAATAAAATATTGAAGTCTGAAGGAGTTTATGAGACAACAGATGGAAAAGTTTACTTCACTGACCAACAGTTCATTATAGAACATCTCATTGACTTAGAGTCGAAATATTCTAAACTTTACAACAAACACAAAAAGTTGAAAGGAAAACAAAAACAGATGGCATATGATATTTATGAAGATGTTGACGACACAACCATACCTGCAAGTGAGGTAAAGTCAGATGAACCGAAAAGTGACGAAAAACCGATAGAAGAAGAAAAACCAAAAACTGAAGATAAACCAAAACCAAAGTTTAGTTTGGAAACTAAACCAAGTCAACCTTCATTAGCTGGTATGGGTTGGCGTCAAAGACTTATGGTAGCTGGTGGTTATGTTAAGTAAAGGAAAAAATATTTTTTTATTTTTATAAAAATGCCCCCATATAGAATGGATAGAAAATCTGCTAGAATAAAAGCAGAGTTGCAAAGATATGGTTGGAGAGTTTCGAAGAATTTTAAATATAGGAAGGGAAGACCCATAAAAGTCTATGACAAACTGTCTGGTCTGACCTACGAAATGGACATAAAAACAGCGCGCGCCAATTATCCAAACAGACTAGAGAGATTAGAAGAAGAGCGTCTTATGAACTTGCCTTTCGATGTTAGTGAGCCGCAGGTTGAAGGACACGACGGCTTTGCCAGGTTCTACTGGAAACATAACGAACAGTTGCATCCTTTGAGAAGGAAAAAAGGTAGTGCAGAGGATGGTCATGCTCCCATGGAAAGAACAAGATATGCATATGAAAAGTATCGTGAAGTTAGAAGTCAAATTACATCTGGTCGAACCTTTACAGTAAACTTTGACGAAGGAAAGAACAAAGAAGGCTTCATGGGTGTACTTGCTGCCATACAAGACGGAAATAAGAAAGGATACAATCTCAGACTAACCATAACAGATTTAGATGGTCATATATACTATGCCCATGGCAATGTCACAACAGCCGCACAACTTCTTGACGCTTTCAAGACTACAAAGAGAGAACAAATGTTTGACTCCGACTCAGATATTTTGAATGCAATTGAAGGAATTGCAAGCGTAAAGTTTGAATGGTACCAACCTAACCCTCAAGCAGTCAGACAACATGCTGGATACTTCCCCTTCATAAATAAGTCTGACATTGACTTGACAAGGTATGGAATTTACAATTCAATTGAAACAATTGTCAATGAACCTTGCATTCTTACATGTCTCAGGAACTCTGGTCTTGTTACAGAAGAGAAAATGAAGTATCTTGAGTCATGTGTGAAGACAAGGTACATGCTCAGAGGTCAATTGGCAAAAATTGCACCGTTGGCAAATGTCAATATCCGAGTCAACATACCTACAGCTAAAGGTTCTTCACATGACGACTATGTTGTTGACAAAGACTTACCATGGTTGAAGATTGCAATTGTCCACAACCACTTCATGTTGAACGAAAGTCTTATGTTCGGAAAAGGTAAGTGTAACATTGTCAGAGCTGTTAACATTCTTTTCGAGAAAGGTTTGTTGGAACCGATTCCAGATGACAAGCTGACAGAAACTTTTGTACCAAAAGACGAAACAAACTTTTCATTGTTGGTAAGACCAAAAGTTGTTCCAGACAAAGTTCTAGTACAAAAGAAGTACACAATTCCAAAAGGAGTTGGATTGTTCGGATACCAACCTGAACCAGAAGAACTTCCAATGAGGTTGCAAGAACTTCAAGATGCTATAAACAAACTTCCATTGAGACATCCAATTGACGTCAAATTGTATTGGAGAGCATCTGAGTTAGGTCAGAAGGTTTTATATGAAACAGGTTGCTTCGACGATGTTTATGAGATAACAGGAGAAGTTTCTCAGAAGATAAGAGACTCACTTGAATTTCCACGAACTGGTCCGATTGGATGCGACAAGTTCGACTCAGATGAAAAGATATACTATGTCGACCTTAACGCTGCATACATGAGGTTTGTCCAATATATCCCGACTGGAATTCCAAACGAAGATGGTGAGTTCCCGGGAAGGAACTATACAGTTGGAAAGGTCATACAACAACTATATGATATTAGGAAAGCTTCAAACCCCAAACTTGCAATGACACTCAAATTGCTTATGAATTCGACATGGGGATATTCCATTAAAAAACCTCAAAAGATGAAGAGTAAACATTATGAGAAGGTCGACAACTTTGTTGAAAGGTTCTCCCCTTTTGTTTTGAAGTACGAATTCACTCAAGGTCAAAGTGGCTTAGTAACCACATTAAAACCTATTGTCGAACATTGGTCCTACCCTCAGTTCGCAAAGGCAGTCCTTGACAACTACAACAAATTCTTCTCAGAGGTTAAATCCAAAGTGAAGGTTTACTATGAGAACATTGACGCACTCATGACGAACGAAGAAGGGTACAACAAACTCATTGAAATGGGTTTAGTCGGTGAGAAGATGGGCTGTTTTAAGCTAGATAAGGTATTTTCAGAAGTTCATGTCCTCTCCAAGCGTAAGTACTGGGGCATACTTGAAGACGGCACAGAAATAAAACATTGTATGAAATAAAACATTGCATGAAGTAAAAACGTTTTTTTTAAAACAGTATATTTTTACATATATTAAATGTTTCAGGTTGAAAAACAAAGAACAAAAGTAGCAGATACAAAACCGTTAGACTATATCTTTACAAACGCCGGTAGGACTATTTCAGATGAAGAAATTTCATCCGGTGCTTACAGGTTTGACTATCCAATTCGTTGGCTTCAAAGTCCTTCAGATGCAAAGGCAATAGGATTTAGAAGAGTTTTGTTTTCAAATAGAACTAACGCTTTTATGTTCGCAGTATATTTTCATGGGCAGTATAAAGATTCTGATGGTCTAATAGACAAATTTGATGAAATGAGAATCTTTACAATTCGTTCAGACGAAAACCTTGAGAAGACTCTAAATGACTTTCAAACTCAAATAAACAAATACTACTGGGAATTTCAAGAAAAATACGACTCTTTACTAAATGGAACATACTATCTGAAACTAGAATATGACAAGATGAACTCCACAGTTTCATTTCAAAGGATTGAAAATAACCCTCCAAGAGATACACAGTTTTTATTTTGGGAAGTAGACAAACGTTCTTGGGCACAATTTCTTCGGTTACTAAACCAGAACGAACCATTACCACCTGACGGTCCGTTTAAATTTATACGCCCACCAACAGATTTGATGGTTTATAGAAACGTGTTTGACCCTCAAAATGTTATGTGTCATGCAAGTTTCAGTTCAAGCAACAACAGTTTTCTATGTATCGGTAAGGACTTTTATGACTTTGCTTCTAAATTCTACGAACCACCTAGTAACAGTTTCTCTGACTTTCAAGTTTGGTTCACAACAAACGGTGTGCAGCATATTATTCCATTGTACTATGACTTTTATCTCGAATTGTCTTTCATATACAACTACGGAAAAGTGCTGAAAAAGTATTGAAAAATGAGTTTTGGTTAGATGTTTTTTAGGTGTGCCTATGTGCCTATGTGCCTCGGTCATTTTAACTTCTCTGAAAAAGTGTGACAACATGACATTTTGACAACATCGTAGAAAACACACAAAACTCATGAATTTTGTATAAAAAAAGCAACCGTCGGAATTCCGGCGGTTGGTATATTCTTCACAAAATGCTTGTTTTGAGGTCGAGCCATTTTTGGCCCTACCGTATTTTTCAACCAAAACTCTTGAATTCGGCAAAAATATATTTTAGGTGGAACCAGGTCACCAGGTCATTTTAACTTCTTTTAAAAAGTGTGACAACACGACATTTTGACAACATCGTAGAAAACACACAAAACTCTTGAATTTTGTATAAAAAAAGCAACCCGCGGGTTGGTATATTCTTCACAAAATGCTTGTTTTGAGGTCGAGCCACAAACGGATGTCCGACGGTTAAGCCACAAACGGATGTCCGACGGTTAAGCCACAAACGGATGTCCGACGGTTAAGCCACTCAAAAATATTTTTTATTTTTATTGTAAGAACAGAAAATGACAGTCGAAGCAAAAACGTTCACGAACAAATCTAATGGCGAAACATTCACAAAAGGCACTTACAACGGTATTGAAGTCTTATGTAGAGACAAGGATGGTTATATAAATGCAACAAAGATGTGTCAGCAGTTTAGGAAAGACTTTAGAAGGTTGTTGGAAAATAAGTCCTGGGAAGAGTATTTTAAGGCATTTTGTGAAGAATATACCAACCCGCGGAAAACAGCGGGTTGCTTTTTATACAAAATTCATGCAGGAATTCCGGATGAAATCAAACAGGTTAGAGGAATGTATGTAGACCCAAGACTTGTAAACTATATTGCAATGTGGGCTTCTCCAAAATATTGTATAGCAGTTGGAAAAATTATGGACTCCATAGACAAGAAAGTTCATGAGAAATTAGATGAAGAAGAACTTGAAGATACAGTAGAGAATGCTAAACCTTTGTTCGAACAAGAAGTTAGAAAAATGTGCGAAAAACAAATAGAACATGAACGTGAGATATGTTATGGTTATAGAGATTCTCCATACGAACTAGACCAATGGGAACAAGAAGATTTAAAGAGAGAATTTAGAGAATATGAACTCGCTAAGATAGCATTAGAAGCTGCAGAAAAGAAGTTAAAAGTTTGGGGTCGTTTTGTACAAAAATATTGTGAGTAAATGAACCATTTATTTTTATTGAATTCAAAAAAATAATGTTTATGTTAGAATGTTAGATCTAACATGTTTTCTAACATGTTTTCTAACATCGTAGAAAACTCTTGAATTTGTCGAAACTTCTTCGTAAATGTTTTGTCAAGACTTCTTCGTAAATGTTTTGTCAAGACTTCTTCGTAAATGTTTTGTCAAGACTTCTTCGTAATGAGCGTAAAAGACCCAAAAATAATGTTTATGTTAGAATGTTAGATCTAACATGTTTTCTAACACGTTTTCTAACATGGTCTAAAACTCTTGAATTTTCATGAATTTTCCCGAAATAAAAAATAAAGTTAGTTTTTTTAAAAAAATATTTTTTATTTTTATTGTAAGAACATGTTAGCAACAACAGCACCAAACTCGTTAGTCATGAACCCAACTTCAATGTTAGTAGAGATGAAAAGCTTCATTCCTTCTTCATATACTTTCGAAACAAAAATCCAGAAGATAAAGCAAGAACTTTTAACAAGTAATTTAGACTGTAGTGCGAAAGATGAAACAAATGAACAGTATCTTTATGAAATGCAGGACCTCATCGACCATCTACCTAAACTTCCTGAAATCCAACAACAAAAGCTTACTATTCCAGAATTCGATGAAATAGAAGTCAAAGCAACTGACTCAGTAGAAATAAAGAAGTTCATACGAAAGGTAAATTATGAATTCCTTGGTTTTCATTGCAACCATAAGGTTATGGACAAAGATTGCGACATGGTATATAAGAACATCTCTGACCTTTACAAATCCGAAGAATTTAAGACCTACGACAACTTTGTTTCGTTAGTTGCAAAATGTGTTTGGGAAATAAGAGATAAAGATAGTAGGGGTAAGGTATGGAACGAACAAATAAAACCCGCTATGTTCGAGATGAAGAAAACCATTGACGCCTTAGTTGTTTTAGCAGGTAAGGTTTCAGAATATAACGCAAAAATGAATCCGCAATGTTCAAAATGTAAAGCAGCAATGAGGAAATATAACTACTCCGTCAAAGAGATAGAACGTATGCGAAACGACTATGCAGATTTAAAGAAAGAAGCAGAGAAACCAGCAGAAGATAAAATGGACATGTTGACATTTCTAAACAAAAACTATCCAACAGCTGACGATTTCCTTCTTTCAGATGTCAAGAAGAAATATAAAGAAACCTTCGGCATTGTTAAAACATTCGATGTACTGACAGAAGAAATAGAAGCTACGAAATTGTTTAGAGTCATGAACCATCGCAACATATACCATGTAAAACGCTTGTAAATAGTTATGTTAGAAAACATGTTAGAAAACATGTTAGATCTAACATTCTAACATAAACATTATTTTTATTGAATTCCGTATGAAATTTCATGAGTTTTGTGTGTTTTAGACCATGTTAGAAAACATGTTAGAAAACATGTTAGATCTAACATTCTAACATAAACATTATTTTTATTGAAAAAATGACCAAATTTCATTATATAACTGTTATTTTTTTACGAAGAGAACTTTTGCACTTCGTCAAAAAAATCCCTGAAATCATATCTTTTATACAAGATAGAAAATCTTACTCGCCAAAACTCTATGAAAATCATGAAGAACAGCGAGTAGGTAAGAAATCCTGGTCGCCTAAAACTCTATGAAAATCATGAATTTCCTTAAGATAGAAAAAATAAAGCTAGTTTTTTTAAAATATTTTTTTTTTATTTTGTATGTAAGAACAGGAAATGACAAACACTGAGTTTGAAACAGTTAAAAAGATAGACAATAACACTAAATTGGTTAGAATAGGTGATTTAAACGTAAGATACTCAAAGAAATACAATAAATATTCTTTGTCAGACATTATATCTCCATTTGGAAAGAAAACATCCCACGACTGGGTTAGAACTGCTTCTAGTCAGAAAATTTTGACAAGAAATCCTGAGCTTATGATATCGGTAAGATTCTATGGAACTACAGCATATCTCATCGACAAAAGTCTTATACCAATAGTTTTGTTATGGTTAGACCCAGTTGTTGGATATAACTTCATAACATATGGTTTATTCGACTCAGAACGTTGCAGTGAAGGCTTACTTTACATCGTTCAGAAACCGAAGGACTTCAATACAAAGAGATATAAGATAGGAAGAACATATAATATAACTCAAAGATATGACAGTACAGTCAATAGAGTTAAGGTTGTGTTCGTTAACGATATGAGAGCTGCTGAAACAGAACTACTTGAAAAGTTTGAGAAAATATATGGTGCTCCCATAAAAGGTAAAGAAACGTTTGAAGTAGATGAGATAGATAAAGCTATAAAATTATTTGACGAAGTTGCTGAAAAATACATGTAAAGCGTTTATTTTTGGTCTTTTGTGAAAGTCAGAAAATAACGCTAATTTTATTTTTTTTTATTTTTTTATCCGGAATATAAAGACAGATATGTCAACAACAGAGAACACAACAACTGCTATCGTTCATGAAGCTATAAGTGAAGAATACGAGTGGGTTCAGTATAACAAACAGTTACGTCTCATTCGTTCGGTCAAAGATGACATGTACCAAATGCAAAGTATTTTGAATGCTCTTCGTTCTACAAAGCAAGCATATCATTGGTTTGAAAACCAACAGACAAAAGAACTTTTAGAAGAATTTCCTCATATGTTTGCTACCCTCGGAAAACCGAGGGTAGAGATTCCGTACGAAAATCGCAAGAATTTGGCTCCTGGTTTGAGAGGTTGGTATGTACATAGACTTCTTGTAAATGCTGTTGCAATGTGGGCTTCACCTCGTTACGCTTGTTATATTTTCATGATGTTAGATGAAATTCATAGACAAGAACGTGAAGAGATGGAAAAGAAACTTCAAGCAAAAGATGAAGTCATTGAATCCAAAGACAAAAACATACAGAAAAGAATACCACGTTCGGTACCAAAAGGAAAGGAAAAGAACTATAAGTATATGATTTACACTGAAGAGATGGAAAATGAAGAAGACAGAGATATGGTTATGTTGCATTTAGTCAGAAGAAACAACAAAAGCTTTTACGACCTTGCTAAGATTTACAAATCTGACAGAAATTGGTTCTATCGCGAAAACTTACCGATTTCAATGACACCGAATGAAGATGTGAAACAAATAGTTCAAGATACGTTACCTCAAACACACTATGATATGAAAGGTTGTACAATACTTACCTTCAAAGAAGACTTACCGCTACTGAAGGAAAAAATAACAGAGTATTTTGACAACTTCAAACAAGTAGGGTAGATGAACCATTTATTTTTACGCTTGACTTCAGATGGCTCAGGTAGCTCTATAAAGTAAATTGCCTTGTCAAATCCTTCTGGCATTCCGAGTCCTTCCATCCGACAAGAAAAGTTCTTCCTTCCGACAGAAAAAGTTTTTCCATCCGACAAGAAAAAATTTTCCCGACAACTGGAAAAAATTTTCCTGTTGTCCGTCCGTAAACCATTCAAATTTTCGAAAATTGAGAACTTTTTCCCGACAACTGGAAAAATTTTTCCCGACAACTGGAAAAAAATTTCCCGACAACTGGAAAAAAATTTCCTTCCGACATTCCGAGTCCTTCCTTCCAACAGGAAAAGTTTTTCCTTCCAACAGGAAAAGTTCTTCCTTCCGACAGGACACAAACGAATGTCCGACGTTCCTCTTCCTGAATGTCTTCCAAAGCCAGAAGAACCGAAAGCTGCAGCACCACAACAGACTAAGACTAAACTCTTTATTTTTCAAGCTTGACTTTTTACAATTTGAACTTTGTTCGCGTAGATATGAATTCTGAAAGAAGTATGAGGGTCTTGTATGACTTTGTACTTCTCCCATAGTTCATGTCTGTCAAACTTACCTGCCATGGACTCTTTCATAAGTTCCATGAAATCGTCTTCGGACAATCCAGGGAAAAGTATGATGTCAGTAAGTATTCTTTTAACATCCTTACTTAAACTCTTTGCTGTCTGTACACAAATGACAACTGAGATGTTAAAGTGCCTAAGTTTCTTAAGAATTCGACACATGTCTTGTTCTCTGTTCTTTAACAAAGGATGAGAAGCAAAGTCATCTAAGATAAGAAGACACCTATGAGGGTACGTTTTCCAATCGTACGATTGCAATTTCTTCGAAATGTATTCTATCTCTTTCTGTTTGTTTCTGAAGTGTTTCTTCTCTAATATTCTCTGCATTTCCTCATTTGGGTCTTTAAACTTAGAATTTATATACTCATTTATAGCATTATACTTCAAAACTCTTCTTTGGTACTTCTTTATCCAATCTAACAACTCAGTATCCTTTATACATACTAACTTAGACTTCTTTATAATATCTTTGAACGAATTGACGGTTTGGTCAAATTGACCAGAAGTACTACAAATAACAACTAACTCATAGAATGGGTTCTTCTCATCTAGTTCTTGTTGTTGTGCAGCCATTTTAAGATAAGTGAAAGTCTTACCCGACCCAGGTGGTGCAATTAGACCTGTTATACCATTCTGAGCAAATAAGAACTTGTCATGTATAGGCTTTATCTGAGCATTTTCCAACTTCCTCTTGTTCTTGTTTAAAACATTCTCAAATTTCTTGTCAATGTCAGCAAACTTTTTTTCTAACATATTTTTAGAAAAATTAAAAATTTTATCTTTTAAGAAATGTCTAGCGATTTCGCTATCTATATTCGAGACAAGCTTTTCGACAGCAAAACATCTGTAGACCATAAAATCTTACATAGTGTAAACAAGAAAGGTGAATTTGTTCTAAAGTTCTGTTTCTGGGAATATGACAAGAACCATAAAACATTACAAAGAGCAGTTTAAAATTTGTCAATGACAGACTTGTTGACAGAGATGACGCCGATTGGAAAGATGAAGTCCAACAAAGTTCTTAGAATGCAAAGAAGGCACATGCGCTGTTCTTGAAGATGAAATAGAAAACAGAATAGAAGAGCTATTAAAGGACAAAGAACTTTTACATAAATATGGTTCTGAGAAATTTGACATAACTCCACCAGAAAAGAAGAAGAAGAAGAGAGAAAAGAAAGAAAAGAAAGTAGAAGAAGAGAAGAAAGAACCTGAACCAGTTCCAGAGAAGGGGAGATTTGACATGTAAAAATAAAATTTTATTTTTAGAACATTTCTGGGTCAATGTCAATGTTCTCTTCCTCTTTAGGAGCAAACACTGGTTTAGACTCTAAAATCTTTTTACCTAATTTACCTTGAACTTCAACTATCTTAGACTCAAATATTCATAGTCGTCTGCTTTCTTTGTTCATAAGGTATAACAAGTTTGTATGCTTTGCCTTCTTTAAGGTTTGAAAACCTTCTGTCAAAACTTTCTTTGACTGCTAACAAACCTTCTATGTCTAAGTCTTCAAATTTCGCACCATTTTTAGTCACAATAGCAAACTTAACTGGTTCGATGTTCCAAACTTTGCTGAATGAAGACTTTTCAAAATGGTAGAAGTAAACATTCAAATAAGCGAATGGGTCTAGTTCTTCTTTAAGTCCTGACATGTACTTGTTTACTGAGATGAATTTCGTCATCTTTTCTATCGGATAAAAAAATATTTTTTTAAAAAAACGTTTTAAAATGGTATGCCATATAGCTTCTTGAATTTGTTAAGAAGTATTTTAACGTATTTTCCATCTGTATCTCTAGCGTTTACATAAGCATAGCCCGCCTTAGTAAAATATACTTGTAATTTCCTATAGTTTACGCCGGTATAAAAGTAGAAAGAGTCCTGTTCTTCGCTATAGTAGTAAAACTCAAACGTATGCTTGCCATAGTCTGTAATTTCAATTGCTTCATCTTCTAGTTCGTCGACAAATTCGAATACAATATCTCCAAATTTGCCTTTGTTCTTACTGTTTTCAGAACGAGTGACCCAGCGTAAGTTTTCAAGTCTATTGTCGTTTCTTATACGGTTTATATGGTCTACAAAAGGTAAATTTTAGGTTCGGTATAAAATGAGTTGCAATGACAACATGTTTTAAATAGTTTTTCCCACCCATCTTCATCCTAGCATATCCGTTATTTTGCTCCCATTCGCTTAAAACTCTTTTTGTCTTTTTGTTTCTGACTTCAAATGACTCACAACAGTGAATTTCATATTTCTCATCTAACAAACAAGTTTTCCAACAGTCTTTTCCAACAAACTCAGCGTACATTTCAAATAAAATAAAAAAATACTGTTTTTAAAATTTACTCAGAAAAATTTTTCTTTGTATATACGCCGTTCTGTATGTCTAAAAGACTTTTGACATTTGCCAAGAATGTTCGTTTAGACGCTGCCATATAACCATATTCTTGACAATATTGTTTATACGAATCGTACAATGACCTTTCATCTAAACACTCAAAGTTAGTCTCATCTATGAACAGTTCATATACACTCTTGTTTGCTTCTAACAATGTTTGTCTCTCTTCGGTATGTGGAATTTGTCTTGGATTGAACTTAGAAATATCTAATGTCATAAAATATGAGAACAAGTGGTTGTAAAAGTCAGATGTCAAACATTCTGACAAAGCGTCAAAATATTCTGTATCTTGCATATGAGAATCTGACGTTCTGACAACTACATATCTTCTGTCAGAACTTTCTAACTTCATCGGAACAGCATTGTTTGAAACCATAATGAAGTTTGCAACATTTTCACAAACTCTTTGGTCTTTATATTTTCTTTCAACAACTCCAACTTTATCTGTTATAAGACTCTTCAAAGCATCTGAGTTCAAAACTTTTGTTGTATCTATACTTTGAAGTTCATTGCAAACTATAAGTTTCATATTCTCTATTGAGGAGTTAAACTTGCCGCAGATGTTTTCTAAGTTTGTCATATTCGGGTTCGAATAACCTTCTAACAGTTTGCACAAAATATCTGTAAAGAATGTGTTCTTACCAGTTCCTTGTTTTCCAATTATAATGAGAGCAGTTTCATTTTTAGCACTTGGATGTTGTAAGATGTTTGCAAACCAACATAAGATATACTCATAGACTCTTTCGTTTCCCATTGCATATAATTTCTTTGACATGGTCTAACCAAGCTTCTATAATATTTTCTTTCCATTCTACTTGTTCGTATTTATATCCAGTGAAGATAGAATAGAAGTTTGGAGAAGGTGTATAAAACTTTATACCTCGAACTGAAAAATCTTCAAGTTTTGACAATAAGATATCCCAAGCATCTAACATCTTCATGCCAACTTGTACGACTTTTATTTTCTTAAGTTTCTGTCTACATTCTTGTTCTGAAACTATGGTTGCTCTTGGTTTGTTAAAGACAACATCCCATTCTTTCATGACATAACATTCTGGGCAGAGTCGACATAAATGACTAAACGTTTCAAATTCTCGACTGCTTTGTTATAGTCTCTAAATGGACACATATTTCTGAACGCTTGGAAGTCATAAAAATCTGAAACATCTATTCTGTACATTTTTATAAAAATAAAAAAAAATATTTTTTTATTCTGAGCTATTTGTTGCATTTGTTGTTCTTGAGCTATTTGTTGTTGAAGTTGTTCTTGTAGTACAATACTTTCACCAGTTGCATCTTCCAATTCGAAACTTTCTGCCGTCATTGACAAATACATAGGACATAAAAGTTTTACAGAACAAAGTTGCGTCAACTAAGGTTAAGTTTATGTTTGCTAAAGTGTTTGAGTTTACTAAAGCTGAAAACTCTGCATTCGAATGAACAATAGGCAAACCAGCAGAGAAAGTGTTGTTTATTACGCATGAGTATCTTTTTGGTCATAGTAGTTTCTGTCAACATTCGAATAGCACTTTGAACCTAAGTTTGAAACAATATATAAAATAGGTGTAACTTAAAGTCAATGGAACAGACATTCCTTGTATGACACCTTTTCCTGTTATAGGAAACTGTTGGTAGTAAAACCAGAAATAAGTTTTGTATTATAGCTCATATTGTTTATAGTAAACTCAGTCGGACATCCAAACATAATGAAACCTGCTCTAGTTGCAGCACATGTTACATCCGTCCTTAAAGTATTAAATAAGTCAAAAAACCTGTTGGTGGTATATCTGAGTAAGTATCTTCAAAGGAGTATTTTTTACCATTCACAAACAATAAAATCTTCTGGTGTCAAAAGAGCAAAACAGGCTTTAGTCGTCATCGTGTTAAGGTCAGTTTACAATATCGTCCTTGAGGACTTTGTAAGTTTGTTGTTATAGAATTATATGACTCAGGGTTTTTAGTCGTAATAGTATAAACCACTATGTCTTCTGCCATTTACTTAGCAAATAAATTTTAATGAAATGTTGTGGTCGTCAAATATTTATAACGTCTGGGAAACTATACTTTAAGTTCAACGTTTCACCTCCTTTCATAACGTATATCTTGTCAATGACATTATATGAAACACCACAGCAACTAATGTCGGTTCTATTTCTTGATGTTTATATCGTCTGCCTCTGTCAAAATTCAATAGTTCTTTCAAAATTTCATGAGGTGCGATGACATATGAGTTCATTTTTACAGGGTTGTGTTCGACCAAGTTTAACATTATACTTAAAGCTTGACAAATCTTCTCCTGAGTTTGAAGTTTGTTTTTCAGTTGTTGGTAGTCGTTTCGAATATCTGCAACAGAACTTAAGTCTCTGCTAACTCAGGGTATGTTGTTGTTCTTTTAAAGGAACTATTGTTATACCATCTTCGTCTTCGTATGGTTTCCCCACTTCAACATCTCTTTCTTTGACATTGACAACAACACTTTGACTGTTTGTTTGAGTTGGTGAATTTAACTTCACATCTGCCACCGCGCATTAAACCTTTTGAAACACTCACGCTTCTATTTTTTCGGAAATGACATTTTACTTAGAATAAAAAGATGGACGTATTCGAGTATCTCTTCGAATTGAAGCAGAACAAAGTTTACACACACAACAATACAAATACATTGACAGAATAGTTCTTTACACAAACAATGGTAAATGTTATAGAATAGCAGTCTTTGCTGAACTAAATATTTTCATAAAGCAAAGAAAGTTGGTATAACCGAGATGGTGAAAGTTCTTGAAGCAGACAAAAAATATAACAAACAAAACTGACCGATATTTCTAAAGGTAATTTATAATACAATTTTATGTCAAAACTGGCGTACTGTCAATATTTGACGGAGAGAAGTCAGTTCAAGAACAACTTATGACCTGCTGCCAAATCTGCTCGAT